AAAAAAAAAAAAAAAAAGCCAAGATACAGATTTTAAACGCTACTTGAGTTTTATTCTGTGTTCTCAATGCCTTTCTGTTTACAATAAACTGATAAAACCATTACAACATTATTCATACTAAAATGTTTGCTTTCAAAGCTGGTAACTAGGCTAAGGACATTTACAGAAAGAAAAATTTCAAATAAAATAAAATGAACAAAAATAATTAAGTAATATCCGTTTGTTTCCTGATGTGGTCACTTCTGATGTACTGATTCACATCACACTACGTTATGAGCTAAACAATAAATACTTTATAATTATTGTTATTTGCTGAGGTAGATGAATGATCATAATTTTTTTATACAGTATAGTACCTGACTTTTTCCCAAGTGGAGAAATACTTTAAGTTAGCTATTTGCCGAACTCCAATTAAATATCTCGTTTTCCTTGGTTGCTTTGTTTGTTTGTTTGTTTTTTGTTTTAAGTTTCTATTTTTCACGTATCTAGTCAGCTTTCTTTTTTTTTTCCACTCCAAGAAAAGAGAGCTTCATCTTGTCAATAACGTTTGTGACTCAAGTATCATTCTGCTGTAAGTTGATTCTCTCCATAATAATCCATCCATTGTTGTAGTTTGTAAATTTGTCCCTCAACAGAGCTCTTAGCAGTTCCTCCCTCAGCTGAATATTGTTCCACACTGTGTTCATAGTCCCACACTTCATTAACATCTTCCTCAAACAGTGGGCTGGAAAGAGCACACAAGAAAAAAAAAACCTAAAAAACTTTGAATTATGGACTTTTTATTTCACCAAACTCTTTCTAAACCAGTAAATGCATATCTTGCAGCCTAAACTTTTTCCCAGGCCCTTTCTTCTCTCTCAATTCAGGTTTTTTTTTTTAAGGAGGGGGCGAAGGAGGGGGTGAGGGAGGGGGAGAAAGAGGGAAAAGGGGAAAGGGTGAAGGGGGAAAAGGGGGCAAGGGGGGAAAAGAACAGAGATCTTGGATCAGAGTTGGATTTCATTAAGTAGAATATTAAGTATGCTTATAATTAGTGAGATAACGACAGTAAGCCCACGTGCCCTTGTACGAGAATCTGTCGAGAGTAGAGAGAACATGCAGCAGTATTGCTGCAGATCTTTTAATTTTGAGTGAAAACAACATTGACTCCATTGAGATAGTAGCACTAAATGGAATTTATGATTTTGAGAAAAAACCTCTTGATTAACAAACAGCAATAAGGGTTTTCAAACCAGCAGCAGTCTTTGACTTTGGCTCACCTGATTTGCTTCAAGTCATTCAAAGTGAGTTGATTCAGAAGACAGCCTTTGGTTTCCGCAGCCTGAACTGCCTCACCGGACAAACTGTGAGCCTCACGGAAGGGAACCTGAAAGCACACATACAATATATAACTGATGGTTGAATTGTGTTGGACTCTTGCAAGTCCATTCATTATATAAACTAATCCACTTGGGTAAAAGTTGAGAGTTCATTTCCTTGCCCATTTTATAGACTTCTTTTCTTTCTGTTGTCTTTAGACCTACCCCTTTCCGCACAAGGTAATAAGCCAGGTCCGTGGCCAGCATATCTGGACTCAGTGCAGCCAACATCTTGTCTTTGTGTATCTGATGATAACAAATAAGAATGAACAACAAGTTCATAAAAAAGTAGGAACTTTTATAGAGTCCAAAGCTCTATTATCTTGTTAGATTCATCCCTCACCTTGAGTGTGAGTAAGGTTCCAGTAGCTACTTGAAGTAAACCACGTAATGTGTCACACACATCAAACAATGGTTCCTTGTCTTCCTAGGAAGGAACAGGAAGAACTAATGTCAATTTGGGAGCAATGGAATTCTTTTAAAGTAGCTCACGACCTAATTTCTAATCTTCCTCAATCTTCCTCAATTGCCAGATGACCTGAGATCACAGGTTTTTATGGAAAAAAGGGTTGTAAAGGGATTACAAATCTTTCTGCATTTCTCAGCC